CTTGGTGCCCAGCACAGCCCCATTCTTCCTCTATCTCCTCCAAAGCCAGATCCCAAAGCTTCCAGCAAGCTCTGCTAGAAGGGAGGGGGGGAAAAGCTTCCACGGGGAGGATTTTTTTGAGCAGTTCTATCTTCTGAGGAGTGGCGGCACCTCTGAAACGATCCAGAGCCATCCTGCTGCACCATTTCTGCCACTCAGGAACCTCCCAACAGGTGCCACGCTCGCTTTGAGCTTTGTGGCAGAAACCAGGGCAGCCAGCGAGGCCTCGGAACATTTGTGTCTGAATCGCTGCCAGCGAGGAGGCAGCCTCGGCATCGCTGTTCCCTCTCAGCCGTCAGCACCCTTCCTCCGCTCGGCAAGGAGCTGATAATGGCTTGTTTGTGCCTTCCCCGGGGCGGGAGGAGGGATGGGAGCAGGCTGCCATGGGAGCAGGCGTGTGGCAGGAGCTGTCAGGCTTCCCCTCCTGGTAGACGGCAATAATTAGTGGCTGGAGGCAGCGCCTCTGTCTCGGTGCAGAGTGAGTTGTTTTGTGCTCGCCCCGAGGGGAAATCTCTGCGTGGGACTCTGGTGCAGCTCTCTGCAGTGGTTGGGAGCTGGGAGATCCCTTCCTCACCTGGAGTCTGTTCCCTTTTCCCTCCCCTCTGGCTCAATCAGTGCAGGATTGAGCTGAGCCCGGCGGGCATCAGCCTGTCTCTAATGGGGGATGTGTGCCGTTATTTATTCATTCATTCATCTGTGCAGCGTTTTCCGTACATCCCAGAGGGTTTGTGGCAGTGCTGCATACATACCTGGAGCAGAGAATAGGCAGAATTGGAGAATAAAGTGGGTATTTATTAAAAGTCTTTAACAGGTACACCCTGGGCAGAGGTTACACTTGAGATGCACAACAGTCACGAGATTTTCGGGCAGATATAAATTTGGTCTGTTTGCATATCAGGGGTTAATTGTCCAATTACAGCTTCAGGTAATGAAGTCATTTACCCGCAGTTTGCTCCCCCCATTTCACTTTTGTTTACATTTTTCATGCCGGAGGCTCTGATGATGTCCTTGGTTCTCAGTCCGGGATTGTTTCATGTGAGAGCTCCCTGACATCTACATGGAGTCCAGAGTTACCAATCCAGTGCAGGACCTGAAAAAAACACAAAAGCTCGAGGCATGAGCTGGGAGGGGAGTGCAGGGCAGGGCTTTGCTGAGCTCCATCTCTGCTCCCTCCAGGAGCTTTGCTTCCTGCTGCTATCTGTTGTGTGGGATGGCTGGCTCTGAAAATAGCCACCTTCCCTCCTGGCACCGGGATGTGTCTTTCTTCCCAGTCTGACGTTGTGTTAAATCTGGTCTGGTTTTTCGTGGTAACGATGGAGAAAGGGTGGGATGAGCACTGGGCTGCATGGAATTAGCTCAGTGCCCTGGTGTGAGGGATGTGGCAGCACTTTGGGCAGTGCTGTGTGTCCTGCTGCATGCAGGGAATGGGGGATTCCCTTTCCTGGGCCAGGGAAGTTTTCCAGCAGCTTTCCCAGTGTGCTGGGAGTCTCTTGACCTGCTGGAGGTTTTGGTGCTGGGAACAGCCCCCAGAACTGACTGGGAGCCAAACCCTGCTCTTGCCAGCCTTGTCTGCCTCCCTCCTCAGCAATACCTGCTTGGCACAGCAGTCATGGTAACAGAGCTGGAATGGAATTGCATCCTAAATCCAGGCTGTTAACAGCAGTTCAGGGAGATGGGGCTGTGGGGAGTCCCTGGGAGGGGAAGGCACTGGGGCTGTCCTCAGAAAAAGCAGCTCAGAAACCTCCTGACCTGCTCTTGATTCTGGCACAGCCTTGGCAGTGACTGGAGCAGGGCAGCCAGACACAGTCCAGGGCTAGATCTTTATTATTATTGTTATTACTATTATTACGTTATTATCATTATTAACGCTGGCACTGCTGGGTGCTGCAGTGTGAGCCCGCCTGTACAATAGGAGCTGAACATTCATTCTTTCTGCTTGCCCGTGCTCCTGTGGCTGCCACACATGACTAAGGAGCAGAAACAATCGAGTGGAGTGATTCATCCCTCCAGAGAAGGTGGGATGGGAGCAGCAGGAGACAGCCAGCATGGAAACAGCATCCACGGGGAGTGTGTGCTGGGCTGCACCAAAACCTTTGGTCATCCAGCTTTGGAGCAGCAAGAATTAAAATGAGAACATTTTTCTCAGCGAGGTGGTTAAGTTAAAACATAAAATCTGCTGGTTCTTGGCCCCCTGGGTGTGTCTGGGTTCTCAGCTGTGTGTTGGGTGGTCGGTGGAAGGGGAAATGTCTCAGGAGGGTTCACATGGTGCAAGGAGGTGCTGCTGTGGCTGTCACCACAGTGTTCCCCTGCTGCTTCTGTCTGATGGGTCCTGGTGCCCCAAATGTGGTCACTGCCCTGCAGAGAGAGGGAAAGGACAGCAACACACACGTTCCTCTTTTGGGGAAAAAAGGCCAATTTATTGTACAGACAGTTTGTATTTAAAGTGTGTCAGTGCAGCCAGGACAGGACAGGAGCTCATTGGACAATTGGGAAAAACATCCTTGGGACAGCACCTCAGGATGTGTCCCACGGGAAAGACACTAGGGGTTAATGTTTGTGATGAATTTTATTCTGTTTGTCACCGTGTTGTCACCCTGGGAGACTCCTCCCTAACTGAAGCTGCAGTCAGCTTGTCAGCCTGGGAATGGAGCTGAGAGTCAGGAGAAAATCCAGGCCTGAAAGGAATTTCCAAGCTGGAATTCCCCAGCTCTCTGAATGTGTGTGTCCACACCCAAACCCATCCCCTGTGGGGTGTTGGGCATCCCTGCAAGTCCCCAGGGCAGAGGGACCCGGGCTTTGAGTGTCCCTTTGCTTTCTCTTGCAGATCAATGAGCTCAGCAATGTTCCCGTCCCTGTCATGTTAATGCCCGATGACTTTAAAGCCTACAGTAAGATTAAGGTGGACAATCATCTATTCAACAAGTAAGTAGGAGCTTCCCAACCTCTCTCTGTGGCCAGAGCTCTGTGCTGTGGGGCAAAGTGGGCTGGGGGAGGCCTTCTGGGCTGTTCCCAGCTGTGCTGCCAGGGGGATGTGGCATGGGTGGGCACAAACCCCTGACCAGGCCGAGGTGGGCTCAGTCTGTCACTGAGATACTCTGTGGTGACTGATTTCCATCCTTGGAGGGGTCAAACTGGTCACAGGAGGCAGCTCTGTAGCTGTGCTGTGCTCATGGAGTCTGTCTGCAGTCATCCCTGTCTCCTTTTCCCCAAAAATCCATTTTTGGGAGCTCTTTTGAAGTCGTGGCTGGTGCTCGGAGCTGCATTCTCCACCCCGGCCCTGCAGGGCTGCAGTGCTCCGTGATCAATCCTTTATTTTCCCCAAGTTTCACCGGGATCAGCTTTGCAGAGTGGGAGGAGTTTGGGAAGTTTGTGTCCCTTGGTGCAGGATCTGCTCCTGCCCTTCTCCCCCGGAGATCTGAGCTCCCCACTGTCACTGCCAGGGAGCTGCCACATCCTCCCGCTGTGGCCCCGCAGGACCAAACTCTGCCTCTGCCCCCCGGGCAGGATCAGGGCTGTGGGAGGAGCTCCCTCAGTGACAGGGAGCGCTGTCATTGTCCCCTGGGGCAGCCTGGCAGCAGAGCCTGGCTGGAACTGCTCCCTGGGACCCTGTGCTGGGTGCTGTGGGGTCCCTGGGTGCTGTGGGGTTCCTGGGTGCTGTGGGATCCCTGGGTTCTGTGGGATCCCTGGGTGCTGTGGGGCCCTGTCCTGGGTGCTGTGGGATCCCTGGGTGCTGTGGGATCCCTCGGTGCTGTGGGATCCCTGGGTGCTGTGGCTGAGCTGGTTTGTGGGGCCTTGACCTTTCTTGTGCTGAGTAATGTGCTGGGATCTGAACCCAGAGCCCACCCCCTCTGCTCCTGCAGCTCCTCCTGGTGTGTGGTGACAGCAGTGACAGCGTGTGCAGGGACAGTGGTGGGAGCGTGTGTAGGGACAGTCGTGTGACAGTGTGTGCAGTGACGGTGGTGACAGTGTGTACAGGCACAGTGTGACAATGTGACAAAGCCCAGGAGGGCACAGGCCACAGTGCTTCCCTCAGACCCAGCCCCTGTGGCCGGGGTTGTGACAGCTGCACAATCTCCACTATCCCATCCCATTATCCCATCCCATTCCCATTATCCCATCCCATCCCACTATCCCATCCCATCCCATCCCATTATCCCATCCCATTCCCATTATCCCATCCCACCCCTGTCCATGAGGATCCTGCACAATTCCCTGGCACAGATGGATTCTGTGGCCATCCAAAGGCAGGAGCTGTCCTGGCCAGGGCTCAGCAGGGCTGGGGTGTCCTGGGGTCAGTGTGGGACTGGCTTTGTCTGCTGGGCACTGCCCACAGCTCTTCTGTGCCCTGCCCTAGGGAGAACCTGCCCAGCCGCTTCAAATTCAAGGAGTATTGTCCCCTGGTGTTCCGCAACCTCCGCGAGAGATTCGGCATCGACGACCAGGACTACCAGGTACTCCTCTCCTCTCCTCTCCTCTCCTCTCCTCTCCCAACCCTAATGCCAGCAGCCTTTCTGGGTTTATAACGAGGTTGGAGTGGTTCCACCATAACCACAGCAGTTTTCTGGGTCTTGCTGTGGATCCATCAGTAGGAGGAGAAGCTGATCCCTGCTCCCAGGGCATGAAACAAAACAGGGGCACAGGTGGCTGTGGACAGGCAGGAGCTGGAGGATAACAGTGATCCAGCATGGAATATCTGCAAGGAAAATGAGCCTGGCATGTTTGTACATTCAGGTGAACCTGCTGCTTTCAGCCAAGTGTGTGTTGTTGATTTGGGTGCTTCGAGGTGATTTCTGCTTTGGGATGCATCCCCTAATGCCAGAGGGGCTGATTTTCTTGGAGAGGAGTCTGCTGTTAGCACTGCTGGGCTCAGCTCTGGGGACAGGGAGATGTCACAACTCTGGCTGCTGCAGCAGGGCCACCCTTCCCTCCCTCAGCCAGCTCTGAGCCCCGAGCACGAGGAGCTGAGCAGGGGAGAGAGCAGGGCCAGGGAGGCCAGAGCTGGGCAGGGACAGCTGCTGGGACATCACAGAGAGCAGAGGGCCAGGGAGGCCAGAGCTGGGCAGGGACAGCTGCTGGGACATCACAGAGAGCAGGGCCAGGGAGGCCCTGGTGGCCACGTGGCCGGTGTCAGGGAGCTGGAGTGTCCCCAGCACGTGGTGACAGAGCAGGCACGGTGCCAGGGGCATCCCCCGGAGCACTCTGAGTGCTGCAGCCTCCCTGCTCCCTCCACGTGTTCCCTGGAGCAGGGCTGGTCCCACGCTGCTCCCTCCTGTCCCCTTTGTCACACCCCTGGGGACACGCCCTGCCCAGGTGTGACCCACACTCAATACCTCCTTTATCATCTACACTCCCCTGCTGTTCTGAGGAATCGCTTCCCCCATCTCATGGCTGATCTGGCTTTTTAAAAAAGTGTCTAGCTGGAACAGAAAACGTGAATTGAGCTAAATTGAGGTGGGTAAAATGTGATGGCTGGAGTGGGAGCAGAGCCAGGACGCTGAATTTAACAGCCCAACTGTGGGAGAGGTGGGAGGCACAGGAAGGGAGCAGAGGGAAGAGAAGGGCTGGGAATGTGGTAATGCTCTGTGTGGTCACGATTTCTGCTTCCCAGCTCCAGAAGAAAAGCTCTGTGGTTTTGAGGTGAGGGCTGATTAAACTGCCTGGCACAGACCCCTTTGTAAATGTCAGCGAGCAGCAAAGGGGATTTTTCTGTTTGCCTTTATTTTCCTGACGCTCTCTAAAGCCATTGGCAGCAGCAGAGTTTTTTCCCCTGCTTCATTAAAGTTTTAAAGGCTTTAAATGCTTCATTCTGAAAGGAAACCTCTCAGCTCACTTGCAGCATGACGTGGTAAATCTCTCTCTCAGAGCAGGCTCTGCTGCCAGAGCTGAGGGAGGGGGACACAGCAGTGCCACTGTCACCTAAAAATAATAAAAAATCCAGCCTGAAACAAAATGTCCAGCCCAGAAATGCTGGAAAACTTGCAAAGGGTCATTGTTGGTGCTGCTGTGTTCCCATCTGTGGTAAGGAAATGCTGGTTGGTAAAATGACTTCTGGGCAGGTGGAGGGGACAGACAGAGGACAGGTGACAGCTTGGCCGGAGGGAGGAGCTCACAGCAGGCCCCTCTACCTGGGGAGAGGCAGCAGAACAAAGAGCTCGTGTTGTGGCTCAGGGAATTGATCCCTGCAGTTTTCCTGGGATTTTCCAGCCCTGCTGCACTGTCTGGTTGCTAAGGGTGGAGACAGGGATCTAAAGGCAGATGCTGCTGGTTGTCAGAAGAACAACCAAGCTATTTATACTCATCTTGTAGGTCCAGGGGTAAGAATAGCAGAGCCTGAGGGTGGCTTTTGGTGCAGGATGGCCTGGGAAGAATCCCCAAACACTGAGACTTTGGCCTGACTAAGCTGCTTTTTGATGGGGAAGCCAACAGGACAGTGCAGTTGTTTTGGTCTGGTTTTCCTTAAGCCTTAGGAAATATCCTGGCTGTTCCTAAATGCCTGAGAGGAGATGCTGAGAACTCTTGGCCTGTGTATCCTACATCTCTAAAAAACCCTTCAGTAAAATATGCCTTCCAAAAACACACCCCAGCTGTTGGAGTAAAACCTGCCAGCAAATCACAGGGCCAGGTGGAAACACTAAAAACGTGTCCAGACTTTTAAACAATTGGGGTTTACCCTCAGCAGTGCCAAAGCTGGAGTTCACAGCCAGAGTGGGTGCCCTGAGTTTGTTCCGTGGGGCTGGCCCTGCTTTCCAGGCTGCTCAGGGGATCCCCATCCATACCTGAACCTTCCTGTGGGGCTGGTCCTGATCCCCAGAGCTGCTCAGGGGGTCCCCAGCCTTCCCTGAGCTCATCCTGTGGGGCTGGCTGTGCTCCCCAGGCTGCTCAGGGGGTTCACAGCCAGAGTGTGTTCCCTGAGCTGGTCCTGTGGGGCTGGCCCTGCTTCCCAGAGCAGCTCAGGTCATTCTCAGCCAGACCTGAGCTTGTTCTATGGGGCTGACTCTGCTTCCCAAAGCAGCTCAGGGGATCCACAGGCAGAGTGGGTGCCCTGAGCCCATCCTGTGGGGCTGGCCGTGCTCCCCAGGGTCTCCCAGTTTGTTCCCAGCCCATCCTGTGGGTCTGGCTGTGCTCCCCAAGGTCTCCCAGTTTGTTCCCAGCCCATCCTGTGGGGCTGGCCGTGCTCCCCAAGGTCTCCCAGTTTGTTCCCAGCCCATCCTGTGGGGCTGGCTCTGCTTCTCAAAGCTGCTCAAGGGGTTCCTGTGGGGCTGGTTCTGCTTCCCAGAGCTGCTCAGGTGGTCCCCAGCCATCCCTGAGCCCATCCTGTGGGGCTGGTCCTGCTCCCCATGGTCTCCCAGTTTGTTCCCAGCCCATCCTATGGGGCTGGCTCTGCTTCCCAGAGCTGCTCAGGTGGTCCCCAGCCATCCCTGAGCCCATCCTGTGGGGCTGGCTCTGCTCCCCAGGGTCTCTCAGGGGGTTCCCATCCCATCCTGTGGGGCTGCCCGTGCTCCCTATCGTCTCTCATGGGGTTCCTGTGGGTCTGACCCTGCTCCCCATGGTCTCCCAGTTTGTTCCTATCCCATCCTGTGGGTCTGGCCCTGCTCCCCATGGTCTCCCAGTTTGTTCCCATCCCATCCTGTGTTGATGGCACTGCTCCCCATGGTCTCCCAGTTTGTTCCCATCCCATCCTGTGTTGATGGCACTGCTCCCCATGGTCTCCCAGTTTGTTCCCATCCCATGCTGTGTTGCTGGCCGTGCTGCTGAGGGCGGTGGCAGCTCACGGTGTCCCCTCCCCTCGGCCTGTGTGTCCCCAGAACTCGGTGACACGCAGCGCCCCGGTGAACAGCGACAGCCAGGGCCGCTGCGGCGCGCGCTTCCTCACCACCTACGACAGGAGGTTCGTCATCAAGGCCGTGTCCAGCGAGGACGTGGCGGAGATGCACAACATCCTCAAGAAATACCACCAGGTACGGTGAGTGTGGAGCCCCCCCGCACGCCTCGGCATCTGCTGAGGGCCTGGCGGGGCCTGCGCCGAGGTGCTGGGGAGGAAAACGGGGATTTAGGGCGGGAGGGGCGGAAATGTGAGGGGTAGAAATGTGAGGGACAAAAGTCTGAGGGAGA